GTCAGCTATGTGCAACATACACCTGTGATTATATTACAGTCATATCCATGTTTAAATTTAAATATCTAAATTTCAAACATGAAAGTACCCCATTGGTAAACAATTCCGGCAAAAGGCGTGCCCCATCGCATACGTCAATGAACATGAATTTTTCACAAGATCCTTTTGATCTTTTCACCAACTTGTCAACTTCGCAATAGATGTCATAAGCAACACCGCCCGAAATGTGTATTTCATTCACAACCGGAAGCATCGTACCACATGCTCCCAACATGAAGGATTAGCGTAACGATGTTGTGAGTGAGTGAGTGAATGAGTGAGTGAGTGAGTGAGTGAGTCGACAAAGCGAACTAGTTTTAAAACCAGCATTACTTGCGTTTATACAAAATATTTAAGAAAACATATTGATGAAAGTTCTGAAAATTATGTTCAGTTCGTTCAAAATTGATTTCCTTCTTACAGAGAACACAATTCTGTGTCTCGAAGCGATCACTAAAAAAATACACATTCTGTCTCACACGATAATCCCTGTATGCATCTCTTCCCCCAACACCCTTCTTCATTCCCAACCCAACATATCAAATAGTATTTCCCTTTGACTGTCCTTACTTTTGTGTGTTTTCTATATCCCAACAGCCTTCCCCCGTGAAGTAATAAAACGTTTCCGATCTAAATATTCCCAGCAGCTGGGAAACGTATACGCATATAAGTTACAAAATAAGTGTTTATTTTGTTTATTTTTCAGTTTTTTTTATCTATTTCTTTCGCACGCCCGCCCTTTGATGTTTTATGTTGGAACCATATGGATGACCATATAGTTGATATGAGGTTTCTTCTATTCAATCTATTGTAACGAGGACCCGTTATCCAAAGATGACGAATACATCGGTACCACGGTCTCCTTTAACGTGTTTACAAGTTCGAACCTGGCCTCTGAATCACATAGCAAGTCTCCGTTCAAACACCTTACACCTGACACGAGCTGTCGGTAGTCATCTGATACCCTTAAGCATGTTTGTGACGTCTTGTTTTCCAGTGAGAGATTTCACTTCAGTGGGCACTCACTCGCCGTCGAGGAGTTTAGCTCGTCGTTAACACTGTTTACTCTGGCTTCAAGGCGGATCCTCTGTTTCGTGTGATGTGGTGAGGCTATCGGTCAATACATGCCGTCAATACATACATGCCATCACGCAAATGAAATAATAAACATGACATGTCAACGAATTGATTTACCTTTGTACGTTAAGATACAGGAGTGAGTGAGTGAGTTATTATTTAGCGTCACATCGGCAATATTTCAGCCATATCGTGACGAGAACAATCTAGTTTATATCAATATGAAAATCAATTAGGTTAGAACATAAATACCTGTCATCGAAGGACAGTAAAAATACTAGAACATCACAGCTATATAAATTTAAAACTAGTACGCTAACGTAAAATTAAATCACTATAGACAGTACAAAATAAAAACGGGCTATAGATCACCAACAACTGAAGGTAGATCACCATACCAGGGACTATGGGGACTTACAGTACGTTTACTACCTGCATGGACCCTAGCTGGATTAACACCATCCCTTCAGCCATTGGTGATTGAAGACAAATCTAGCCATAAATTAACAGTACACATATTCTACGATTAAAAAAGTGGCAAATTTAAATTTACTTTAAATGTGTTGGGACTTTAAGATACAGGAGCTGTCATTAGGCTTATTAAATAGATATGTGTTAGCACGCAATATGCAACTTTTAGTCATTATGAACTGTGAACATGCTGATATTCCTTGACATTCAAAAGAATGTTTTTTTTCGTCAAGTATCATGCTCTTAAAATATTCTTCGAAAGAAATCACATGTTAACACTCTGATAAACGAACCCCTCGCCAGCTCTTCAACTGTAAAATGCATAAGAAAAGAAGGAAAAAAATATATACTCGTTTTGGAGAACGCTGGGTAATGTATAAAGTATCTACTTCCCATTTAACAATATGGAAGCCATTTAATGATAGTAGATAGTAGGAACGGGTTTGATACATTGCCTACTGAAACTCGAACTCGTGCCTTCATATTAAATATTGTACGGAATAATAACGAGAAAGTGATCAATCGTACAACGACATTCACTCTGTATCTGTTTATTATGGAGCTGCATGGCGTGTCCATTCCTTGTCTCCAAGGTCAATAGGATGTAGTAAGTGCCGTGTGATGATGAGCTAATGGACCAGTGAAATAGGTCACTCTTTAGCTGTTAGGGTGATGTTACACAACACAGTGACGATATTGAATCCATCTAGATTTGGACCTGACCCTTCTAGATCTATAAACCCTTTAAGATCCGAGTTAGAATTGGTCCTCAGTAACCCATGTTTGTCATAAGAGGCGACCAACGGGATCGGATGGTCAGTCTCGCTGACTTGGTTGACACATGTCATCGTAACCTAATTTCGTAGATTGATGTTCATGCTGTTGATCACTGGATTGTCTGTTCCAGACTCGATTATTTACAGACCGCCGCCATATAGCTGGAATATTGCTGAGTGCAGAGTTAAACACCAACCAAAAACCTGATAGATCTCTAAGTATATTGTCGCGTCAAAAGAAAGTGAACCCCCATGTCTGATGGCGATTAAGAATGAAACAAAGATTAAGTAGATTCTCAATGGTGATGAATTTGATGTGTTTTGGACCTTAACTTTGCAGTGTTTCAGCGACTGTTTTCGTTTGTCATGTTTTGCCTAGAAATAATCAACAAATGCTTACTTTCTTTGGTACGTCAGTTCATAACACAGTTCTGATGCTGGCAGTATCTACCTTAACCGTCCAGTATGGAAGTGATGTCATCTACTTATCATCGTAAAATTGTCTGGATAATGATAAAATGTTTTCACTTTGCTATGTGGACACGGTGTTCAAAGTAATGGCAATTAATTTTCTACAGTTGCGTCCCTTAGGCGTCCAAGGATCTTATGATCTTGTGCTAAAGATCCTTTATTTGTGAGCACTTTACCCATGATCATCTGTTTTTACCTAATGATATCACACCAAGATCGACAGAAACATTCTTTCAGCGGTGTTGACCCCATTCACTCAGAACGCTTTCAAACAGCAACTGTAAAAACTATACAAAAGACTGCTTTGCATGTGTGAACATACCTACATAACCAGCAACAATATACACTTACAATGTCATCAGCTCGTCTTTCATGCAAATACCTCATTGTGTCAAAGCCAACATCCCTGGGCTCACCTGCATGTTTGGCAATGACATACATATAGACGTTAGAGCATCCTTTTAGAATCTCTGTTTACTGTTTACACGTCGCTGTTTACATATGCATGCGCTATAACGGCTCTCGTACCAGCCCTAGCTGTGACCATAATTTGAAATTAAACACAGTGAAGAAAATCGTTAGCTGTTGATATTTTTTGTTGGCCTTGTGGTGACCCACACGTCTGGGGGCACATACTTATAAGGTCTCTGTTTGCACAACCAAGATATTGTGTTCTAGTGCTAAAATGCATTTTATATTTAGAATATATTGTATATTAAGTATGATCATACGCAAACCACTTTGTATTAAATGTAATATTAAAGCTATTTTGTTTAATGTCTCTTGTGATATTTATCAACATTACTACTATATCATGACAAAAAATAATAGGTTTTACGAATGCGCATTTATTAATCGGTTATATACTTTCATTTGTATCGTATTGTGTTACGTAATCATAAACAATTGTAAAAAATTCTCAATATTTCACAAATTTATATAAAATAGTGAGTGAGTTTAAGTTTTATGTCGCTATTAGCAATATTCCATCAATATCACAGAGGGGACACCAGAAATATATAGTACAAAATACACAGTAAACATTATTGTTATTTATTCTGTACAATATATCTAATTTAGATTACAACTTTAATTGATTATGTGTATGAATGCCATATGACGCTTGATAACGTTCCTCGTCTACCATTATGGTTACCATAATTCATCAAAGCGAATTCAAAAGAGTGATGATTGTTTTATGAAGTCTTTGTGTTCTTGTATCTCCAAATAAATTACAAACTCACTCACACAGAATTTCAGCAATATCGTTGGTGAGTGCTTCACGTGTTCTACCCATCTGAGGAATCGAACCCGGGTCCTGGAAGTGGTGACAAGCTGACGCATTAGCCCCCAAATCCATCTCATATTCTTCTGAGGTCAACAGATAACTTATAACCACCGGCTAGCTATGGTCAGGTAAAAACATGTGTCTCCCGAACTGACCACATTATTAAACACAACGTTATTTGCATACGAAGACATCACAATAGCTCCAAAACGGAAAATTTAGTTAAACGCCTTATCATACGAATCAGTAAAACATCCACGTGTTCGAACAACCGGTTTATAAAAAAATATGTAAATAACTAAAGTATTCAGTAAAAGGCATTTTGCTGATGCGTAATCATTTCGAAGCCCCTAAAACCCCCAACATTTTCAAAATCAAAATATCCAGCAATTCTTTTGACAAAATATTGCATGAACGTGGTTTCTTTGTCAGTATTGAAAGAGCAAATACTGGAACAAACAACTGGAGTTTTTTGTGAGAGATAGCAAACAAATAATTTAACAAATAGACTGAAAAGAAAGCAAACAAAACGCAGACAGAAACAGAAACAGTTCCTTTCGGCCAAATGTGTTTATTTTTGTATATGTACATAGAAAATAACCGAACTCGGAGTTACCTTCTCCTCTAAACATCATTTTTTAACCTCCCCTTGCTTGTATTATAATGAGAGGCATAAACTTATCTCTTTGACGTGCTGAATCAGCAAATATGGAGATTAACGTATCGATATCAGACATGTGACGTATGACAGGAAAAGAGATGGAAATGACAAAGCGACTCTCAAGACTTACTTCCGAAACGAACCCGTCACTCAGCCCAGTAAACACATTGAGTCACGCGTTGAATTGTGGGTAGGTAGCGTATATAAAACCTCGCGAGGCTGCTCGAGATAAACTCAAGACGCGACAAGCTCTGACGTCATACCCTAGGAAAGACAGGGACCAGAAGGCGTATGAACATGGTGAGCGATATTTTGTCTAAATACTATTTTAAATAAGAATTTTTGTACACAGTTTATAACAATGAATATGTGAAATTTCCTGTCGTTACATTTTACAGATAAAAACTAATTTTGATGACAGTACATATACATTGTTACAATACGTTCTTCACGGATTAAATTAGTAAAAGTTTATCATCTGTCATCAATTAGACATTATGCGTTGATTTAGTTTGTGTATACATTATAAAACAAAAGAGTTTTATGAATTTTTCAGTAAACAATTCAGAGGTGAAATCTTGCATGATGATATAAAGTTAGATGTTTCGTGAAAACTTTCTGAGGGCGCTGAAGGCCTGTTCCTGTATGGTCGTATTTGACACTTTAATGGCCAGAGAGCGCATGTCTTGGCAGGGATCGTTATGTTGTCTTGTCAGTCTCTCTGACAGGCACATGTAAGAACATCAATGTTAAACCTACAAATTCCCGACGGAACCAATGTCCATGTGACCTCAAAAATCATTCGACTAATAATACCTATTTGAGTTAAGGATTATGCGATAGAGATATTTGGTTATTGTATTCTTATACAACTTAAGCAATGATTTGTAATGTGGAGTATTTTCACTGAGTGTTCGAAATTTATGCACATGTATATTTCGATTAAATATATCATCGGATATCTCGACTATGATGTTGCATACAGGACAAATACACATCACCCATTGTGTTACTTTATGCTATTCTGTTTTGATTAGGTATACTCTTTTAAATCTTTATATAGTTTTTCGACTACTTCTTTTTTGTAAAATGTTGAGTGTCATCTCGTTAGGGTTATTTAGACGACTTCCCATTGTTTCACAACAATCTTTATTATGACATTTATAGCCTTAATTGGTTATGCTCACGGCCGTGTCTGCCATCGCAACAATTAGTCTAAATCAATGCATTATTGTCTATAACTATATATATTCTACTACCTATACTGTCAGACAGACCGGTATCCACATTGGACCTGTATGTACGGCCATGAGTAGGATAACCCTACTTGCTGGACTTGTCCACCATAGTAAAGTTAAGATAACAGTTCGACTTAATTTTAGTGTAATCTGTTGTTGTATAGCTGACTGAAGACGTTTGGACTCCGTATTCCTTCATCTTCGTCTACCATTACTTCTGAGCTAGTTACCCTGTCGATATATACGCGTTGACAATTGTTTAGCTTGTAATTAATAGAAATAGTAAATCGGCAGGGGTATAAGACAAGGTTGTTATGTATCATTATGTCTGTTCATACAATCAGGGGAATATTTCAACACGGGCAACAATATCCCTCATTAATCCACTAAACTTTCAGGATTGTGTGTATATATGTGCATAGATTTGGTTTTAACGTTGTCACAGCGCCAATGAGCACAGGTCGATGGATACTAGGGCTTTAGAAATCAGTTATCATTATTATTAACGCTAAGTGCATAAAACGAAGTTATCCCTTTTCGTCGTTGCTGACATTAACCCGTTCAAACGACGAGTTGTATATTAGAATGTAGTTTAACAGATTGTTTATCTTCTATTTCAATATATATTTACATATATATGTGATATAAGTAATCATTGAGTTTCACCGTAACAACACAGTGCTTACTGGTACTGAGTATAGTAAGGTGATGCCAGGTATTGCGAATAGTGTGACACTGTAATGTGGCACCATTTGCCGATGACATGATGCCTGTGTCACCTTACTGTCAGATACCCGGCGTCACCTTACTGTTGTCAGTATCCGGCATCACCTTACTGTCATCAATGTATGTCGTCACATCACTGTCGTTAGTACCAGATGGAACCTACTTCTTCAGAGACAACTCGCGCACTGGTATATGTGTAGGCTGGTAAAAATAAACAAAACAACATGCAGTTGGCGAATAACACGGATTCTCATCAATCGACCTGTCACAACATCTCCTTGAAAAGACAACGTGCATGATATATTATGTCATCTCCATGCACCAGGTGAAGCTGTGTTGAGGTCCTCTGTCAGCTTACTGGCCATATGTGTCAGAGTATTGTGCCACACCGTCCCCACGCTGCCCGGGGCATACAGGGCATGGCTCGTAAAAATACACATGTTAGAGTTGTGGTATTAAATAAGGACAATAACGGTAATGCGGAAACCTTCCCAACTTGGTGAAAAGTACTTGGTACTGTGTTCATTTGCAAACGCATTACAACACACCTTTAATTAGTTGGGGATATATTTCAACATAAATAAATCATATACCAAACGCAATTCTTCCCCCATTGATCTAACAATACTTTGTTTATCTATGACCACATATATTTAAGCATAAATAAATCGTGTTCCACACTCAAATTATTGTCCCATGTAACTAACAGTAGTGTGTTAGCCAAGGATCACACACTCCACCCATCTCATTGAAGCCATATCCGCGCTGGACATTTTTGCATCAGTATACTTCAATGATTTGAATGACTAAGACATTATCCTACAATATGGAGAACAATGAGAATTAGTTACCGATAAGGCACAAGATGAGAGACATGTTCTCATTGTATCTCCTACCTGATACCCTTTCACTGTTGTGTGAAAAGGGGAATATATTGAACATTGACTTGGCACGTTTCTTATGATATATATGCATATATATCTAAAAGTTCTGCACATCTATATTTCGAATAAATATATCATCGGATATCTCGACTATATTGTATGCGAACAGGACAAATCCTTATATATCAATGTTTGATTCCTAATGAATATAAATAAAGGGGTAAGGGTATAAGACAAGGCTGTTATGTGTTAGTGTGTCTGTTCGTACAATCATAGCAATATTTCTGACAAAAACGGACAATATTTTACATATACATATATTATCTAAACGCGTTAATAAACGCGGATTAACCTCTCGCAGAATAATAAACGTTTACCCATAAGGTTTTAGCGAACTGTATTCCTTTTCCACATGAGCCGAGAATTAATATTTAATCATTATGAACCCCGCATTGTATTTAGAACCCCTTAAAATACAATAAATCAATTCTTAAATAATCTGTAATGACACACTGACGGGTCTTCAACATCTTCGCACGATGTGTGTTAAGCTGGGTTGACGCATGCCGGTAACGCCGACAGCACTGTCCACGGAGGCTGTTGTAGCATGTCGCTTGTGATTACATAACATTGCTTGTATCTGTTTCAGGACCTCTATATCACGGGTCACCGGTGGCTTATCGCCCTTGTTTTGATGACCATATGTACAACCGAGGTTATTTCTCAGGGTAAGTTAATAACCTGTTACTTCAGCCAAGCACTCCCATGTTTCCTTAGTGAAGATTTAATATCAAGACTTTTATCTTGAAAACGAAAAAATGTTGACATTCACTAGATTTCACTTTCAGCTTTTCATGAACAAAAGGATTATGCTTGTCACACAATGCGTCATATTTTTACAGAATGACAAGTATTTCAAGGTGATTAAAACGCTTACTAAAATAATACCACCATAACCCTTAAGATCTGTTTTGTCATAAAGTGAAAGCGAAAAAAGAATTTCAAAATGTTGACATTCACTGGATTTCACACTCAGCTTTTCATGGAACAAGAGGATTATGCTTGTCTTACAATGCTTCATATTTGGAAAGAATGACAATTATTTCAAAGTGGTTAAAACACTTACTCCAAAAATTATACCACAGTAATCCTTAAGATATGTTTTTGTCAAAAGTGAAAACGAAAAAAGAATGACAAAATGGTGACATTGACTGGATTTTACACTCAGCTTTTCATCGAACAAATGATTTATGCTTCTCTCACAATGAGTCAAATTTGTATGGTATGACAAGTATTTCAAAGTGATTAAAACGCTTACTAAAAAAATAATACAACAATAACCCTTAAGATCTGTTTTGTCATAAAGTGAAAGCGAAATTATTTTTTCAAAATGTCGACATTCACTGGATTTCACACTCAGCTTTTCATGGAACAAGAGGATTATGCTTGTCTCACAATGCTTCATATTTGGAAAGAATGACAAATATTTCAAGATGATTAAAACGCTTAGTTAAAAAATAATACACAACAAAATTTAAGACATGTTTTGTGATAAAGTGTGTCCACAAGGTTGTGTCACGAATACCTAACGAGATGGCCCAGCTCTGACCTATATTACATGACTAGACAGCAACAGGGGACATTTTCCTCCGATCTTAACATAACATCATGTTGACAGCTTAATCTAGCACAGGTCATCCCACTGACCTGGTTACAAGCAATTATTCTACTTTTGATGCAAATTACCTTAGCAGGCCGTGGAATTGTTTATTAAATGTTTTTGGTGGCTCTCCACTTGTCATATGAAAGGCTCTTACCATGGATATGTTGTGGACATTTGGGGTTTGTACACTGTCGGAAAATGTATGATTTATAATTATGGAAATGTGTGTCTTTTATTGCCATACAAGTCCGTTGGGTGAATTCGTTATACTGGTTAGAATAATGGTTAACCTGAATAAAAAACTAGTTAATAATGTAACCATGTTTGAGATTTATAGTTATGTTGATGAGCACTTGAGTTATGATGCTATTAAAGATGTAAGGTACAAGCAAGGTTAAGAATGGTATTTGTGAGGATTTATTGCAGCAATGAATAGGGTAATTATGACCTGACGCAGAAAAATGACTTTGTATCCAAATGCTGTATTTTTACTGTATATTTGACTTAAATAATGTGCCTGATATATTTCATATATAATATATATAATATATTTCAATTATCATTTCACATCAAGGTCATGAAATGAAATTTTTGTATGGAATAAAACGGTTTTTTAATTATCTCTATGCATCATGATAAAAAAGCTCAGAGACGTTTTGTTTTTCAGAAACTGCAGTAATCTAAACTTGTAAACTATTGTAGAGTTCATAGGAGTTCACCATCAAGCATAGTTTTATTCCTTCAGTTCACCATGAAGCATAGTTTTATTCCTTCAGTTCACCATCAAGCATAGTTTTATTCTTTCTGTTGCTCAGCAATTTATATGCATAATATCATAAATAATTATCATTAATTGCCGTTAGAGCTCCTTCTTCTTTTGTAAACCAGTACAGTGATCAATATTGTATGGTTACAATATTTCTATTCACAGGTAGCCACTATAAACGTGTGTGTTATTTCACCAACTGGTCAAAGTACCGACTTGGACAGGCAAAGTTTACAGCAGACCACATAGACCCGTTCCTCTGCACCCACCTGATCTTTGCATTCGGGGACTTTGATGACAACGGAAACCTTCGTAAACTGGACAGTTATCATGACTCAAAAGAGTAAGAGCAATACTTAAGCTTTATCATTTAAAGTAAATACCCAATCTTTGTCATTATAAATGCAAACAACAACAGTTTAATGAAACTTAACATTTTAACTTAAACCACAGAGGTGTGCATATTGTTTGAAAGACGCGACGTCACAGATGCTAACACGGGGCGACCTTGTGGCTAGAAACTCGCTTAGCTTCGCCCGGGTTCAATTCCCAACATGGATAGAATGTGAATTTCAATTGGTGTAACCTATAGTCCTAAATCATATCTCTCTCACATGAACACATCACGGGGAGGTATGGTAGCCTTATGGTTAAAGCGTCCGCTCGTCACACTGAAGACCCTGGTTCGATTTCCCCACATGGATACAATGTGTTAAGCCCATTTCTTGTGTCCCCCGCAGTTATTATGCAGTAATATTGCTAAGAGCGGAATAAAACCACACACACTCACTCATTCGCATTTACACATCACAAGACCGGTTCATGTGCCTATGACTGGGACACTCAGTCAAGATATGGTTACTGTGTGGATAGTGTTTATGTGGTTCATGTAGTGAAACCATCAGCAGGCATTGGAGGCATTTCGTATCGGATCATGTAATTTGCTCTACAGAGAGTTGCGCCCCTTAGTTTGCGCCAGTAAACTATGATCGTCAGTTTGAACCTGCATCACCTCGGGCTTTCCTCCCAATGATACGCCTTGGTAAAAGTTGAATGTTGTTTGAAGCGGCCTTAAACCCGATTCTCTCACTTACTCACTGAAACAAACCGAAAAAAAGACATTGCACGTAGTATGCGGTATGTTACAGTATGCCCACCAGTGTAAAGTAGGCAAGATTAATTCCTCATCTTTTGAGCACATCATTTGAGAAAAATATGCATAGTAATAAATATAATGAAGTTTGGGTTGTTTGCAAGTCAAAACATTGATTACGCAACAGTCTCGTTTCCTGCTGACTGGGTTCCATCCTATTGCGCAACTTAGTACAATAACCAGTCCAGAATTCTGAAAATAGATATATATATATATAAACATAAATATTAATCAGTATTATTTGATACATCTAAGCACTTGTATATTGCAACACTACGCTCCTTCTAATTCTTGCAAACACGTCGTGCAGCGTGCTCTGTCGTACAGCGAGCTATGACAAACGGAAACATGGAAACCATGGAAATCTCAAAACGAGGCTCTGCCGCTAGAAACGTTTTGCGGTCTGGTACGGAATTGATATTATATCAATCACATTGTGCGTTTCAGAACTACTCTGAATAAGTTCAAAAAACACATAAGAGGTGTAACCAGTGAGCCAGATGCATTGTGAATCATTTTACGACCTCATCAAACAGGGGCAGTCTGTTACGTCTTAGTTAAGGTCATGCTGCCTTCACCTCGCCATAAAATGTAGAAATACGATGTTATTAAAGTTTAAACTTAAAATTCATTTGTAAATACCATTTTCTTATGAAACAAGGAATTGGACCAAAAGTGTAACCATAGTTGTTTGTGATGTCTATTTTCACTTTCACACGAGAAAATTCGGATCGGCTGAAAAGTAGGTCATTGTTTGAATAAGTTAATCAGACTCATGTTTCGGTTTGTCTATACCCATTATGTGAACAAGAGGTTATGATTTGTTCAAATTTATAACATTCTGAATCACTTGTGGTTTCCAGTTTTGAAACGTTTAAATCACTGAAACAACAAAACACTGAGTTGCGGACACTGCTAGCTATTGGAGGATGGAACTTTGGAAGCATCAAGTTCTCCAAGATGGCCGGCAGTCCCATGATGCGGAAGACATTTGTGTCCAGCACAGTCAGCTATCTGAGGTCAAACGGCTTTGACGGCCTTGACATTGATTGGGAATATCCGGCAGAGAGAGGCGGAGAACCAGCAGATAGACGTAATCTGGTGACCTTGTGCAAGGTGAGAGAGATACAGCCCACCCCTACCAAATAAAAAACGTTCGCAGAAGAAAACATTCACCTAAGAAAAAACTGCATTTCATTTTCTCTGAGTGTTTGTGCCTCTATGCCTTTAGTAGGAAAATCGTAAGAGCTGATGTCACGGGCAGCCCAGTAGTCTGTCTCACAGTCCCTGAACCACATTATTTTCCCTACTGCCTAGCCCTCCCTGCAATGCTAAAGCCCTAAATGAAGCAAGCCTATATTTCCCCAGGTACAGGAATCTCCCAATTCACTGGAGCTCCTTTTCAATGGGTTTATTTGTTACCATAAAAATTATATATATTAAGGGACTAAACGTTAGTCTAGAGGCCCAGTAGTCACAGATCGCCGTACCGAGGGCTAGAGATCTATGATCATTTGTTCGAATCCCAGCGTCCTCAGGATTATGTTTCTGAGCTTGTCACTCTAACATACCGACCACAGTGCCTTTAAACCCAATTTACTCACTTACACTGCAGGAGTTGAAAGATGCCTTCATCACGGAGAGTCAGCAGGCGGGGAGGGAGCCCCTCCTCCTCACGGCAGCAGTCCCCGCCAGCAGATACAAGGGGGAGGTCGGCTACGACGTTCCTGCTCTTAACAAGTATGTGTATACGGGTTTACATGGGGGTATTTTAGCTTGAAACAGTTGTTCACAGTGTTAGGACAAGGTTGTATGGGCCAAGTGCTGGTTGGGTTTTGTTTAATTTTAATTATACTAATTTTAATTTTTCTCAGTGGTGAGTGACTGGAAGTTTCGAAACAATGTCTCAAATGGCTTTCTGGAAGCTGTATTGTCATTTCAATAAAAACAGAAATTATATATGAACTTGAAGTCCGTAAGTCAACACGTCTCCATTCAAAATACTTGTTTAGAACTCTTCACGCTCACTGACATAAGTCACAGCATTGCCGTGTCTGTTGGCAGCTACCTCGACTTCTTCAGCATCATGACCTACGACTTCCACGGCGGCTGGGAGAACAAGGTGGGACAGAACAGTCCCCTCAGCGCGTCCCCCATAGAGGATGGAGATGACAAGTACCTCAACATAGTAAGTAGCAGTATTTAAGGTGGACATGCTGGACACAAGAGGAACGAGGTCGGGGTATTTAATCACTCAAAGTCATTGGTTCACATAGGTCGAATATTTGTTTTCATTTGGACAGGGACTTGAATTAAGGAATGAAGGAATCCGACGTTTTAACTGACCTGACCAATAGGGTGGACATTATATGTTGTGCGGACAGAGATGCTTGGACACCAATGTGAAATCAATCGATCGTGATTGCGTGGTCTCGTGTTTAAAGCGTTCGTTCGTCATATGAAAACTTTGGTTCAATTCCCCACACAAGTGAAGCTCATTTCCGAACCATCTCAATATTCCTAATATTGGTCTAAAACAGCTCAAACTCAAATCTGTCAACACCACGTTTGTGATGGACATCTGCATCATACTGGACCATCTTCCCCCAGTAAACTGTTGTTAAGCTTCCCTTGGGTTTGCTGTTGTTTTGTACAGTTATAGACCTGTGAAGTCCTCAGCAACCCATGCTTGTCGTAAGCGGATCGGGTGGTCAGGCTCGCTGACTTTATTGACATATGTTAAATATTGCTGTGTACGGCGTTTAACAACAAACAAAAAAGTGCAGTAAATCCCAAATCATCTCGTCTCCTCTGCCGTTGTCAATCCACTGCTCTGACTTCAGTTTAACAACCAACATCTTGACTGCTATTAAATAGACGGTTCATTGTTGAACCTTTAATGTGAAACGGATTCCTTTCTTACCTTGCTTATCCTTTATTTATCACTCATCCTTTTTTTCACCCAATCCAAATATTTGCACCATAAATGAACAGACGAACAAAAGAAAGTTTACATTTGAAAATTAGATTTGGAATAATACAAACATTAGTAGCTATGACTGTAAGCAGTCGCCTAAACACTGCAATTTTCAGGTAAATTGTTCAAATTCCTTTATATTATTCATCACCATCTCCTAACATTTTGCGCGGCAATTTTGTGCACACACTAAGTTACATATCAAGACATTAGATGACAAGATATTATAGACGAAACACAGGCCTTACTACTGCACACAGGACATCATATTCATTTTCTGGAACAAATAAATATTCTATAATATGTATAATTAAAACCAGGCTTTATGAAATGTTTTTAAAAATGAGCCTGGTTTGAATGTGTTTAGCTCATCATCTAATTTTCTCTGTATCTGTCCACAGCGTGAAGCGATCCAGTGGTGGCACAGGGCTGGTGTTCCCAAACACAAGCTAGTTGTCGGGCTGGCATCATACGGCCGTAGCTTCCAGCTGACCTCTAGTTCCTACGGCCTGGGTGCTCCTGCTGCCAAAGGCATTCCTGGACCATACACACGGGAGGGGGGCTTCTGGGCATACTATGAGGTAAGGTTAAAATATGCTGTCAGTTTCTCAATGAACTACCCGTGAAGGTCCGGGTTAGAATATTGATCTTCAGTAACCCATGCTTGTCGTAAGAGGCGACTAACGGGATCGGGTGGTCAGGCTCGCTGACTTGGTTGACACATGTCATCGATTCCCAATTGTGCAGATCGATGCTCATGCTGTTGATCTCTGGATTGTCTGGTCCAGACACGATTATTTACAGACAGCCGCCATATAGCTGGAATATTGCTGAGTGCGACGTAAAATTAAACTCTTACACTCACTCTCAATGAACTCAAATATTGTATAAAGAATTCCCCATATTTGAATGCACAATATATACATTCATATACATTTTACAAGTCATGCTTTTTAAGTATGAAGATTTGAACAGCTTTTGAATTTAAGTGTTAATATCATGATTGATGCCTGTGTCAATATGTGTCCCAAAGAGGGGTTAATTCGACCCTGGGTTGATGTTTGTCGTAAAACCACCTGACACTTAAACAACCTCGAGACAACAAATATTTCTTCTCACAAGGACGCCTTTACGACAACCTTAGCGCTAAAACAGCTTCATCGTTAAGCATCCTCAAGACGAGGTTTCCAGAATGTAGGGGTCACGATTATAGGGTTTCCATGCAATTCATAGCTGCTAGTATGTTGACACTTTAAAGATTCCTAATTCAACTGAGTGGATTGTGACATATACTGTATAAATCTTATTAAGCACATGTACGCTCACATGTCTCCCTAAAGAAATGATAAATTAATTGTAAAAGTGAAGTATATATTGATATGGTCAGGTCAAGAGCACGAGCTGTACACTCTCTGAATGGGTGTGCGGTAGAATATTGGCTTCATGGTAGCTTCGATTGCGTTCGAACAATGTGGGAGCCCATTTTCATTGACTCACTCAAAAATTCCCGAAGTCTGTAAATATTGGTGTTTTCCTAACAGTTTAGGGACCGTTCATAATTTATGGCTAGTGGGGGTGATGATGATTTAAGGGGTGGGGAGGGAAGGGTCACTCATTTTGTTCTGGGGAACTAGGGGGTATCATCAATTTTGTACACATGTACTAGGGGTCAGCAATTTTGTACATAAAAATATTTAAAATTATGCTTAGAAATTATGGGAAGGGGAAGGGAGGTAATTGATTTTGTACATGACATGCAGGGGGTTCACTTATTCTGTACATAATTTTTTTTTTTTTTTGGGGGGGGGGGCATTCACATTGTACATGCTTCTCCATAAAAATCATCAACACCCCCATAGCCATAAATTATGAACGGTCCCTCAGCAACAGTATGTCACCTTCATCCCTTCAAATGTTTCTCAACCCTGGACACAATTAAAGATGCTATCGATAAATAAACCGCAGGACGGTATTCAATGTTAATTTGCTTCGTTGGAGAATGAAACAACTTGAATACATAAACTCGTTCAAAACAAGTGCATTGGACTTAGACTGGGGACGCAAATATGTGAAGAGATTCTGTGCCCATAGCTAACGCTTACAAATCCCGTGTGCGTGCTAATGTCCGTGTTAAACTTGTTTTGTCAACAGATCTGTATGGAGATCGACAATGACTACAACGGTGCTCACCGCGGCACCGTCTACTACGACACAGACCAGGAGGTCCCCTTCTACGTCAAGGACAACTTCTGGGTTGGCTACGACAACGAGCGCAGCATAAAGGCAAAGGTAACACGCTGTATAAAATTGATATCATATCATGTATTATAAACTACATCCACGCAGTTAATTTACCCCAGGCCATTTCAGATCAATATATCGATGCGCAATATTTGAGTATTACAATAAATACAATTACTGGCTGAATGCATAGCGATCGATATATTGGCGTTTAACTGAATATCAATATTGATGTTAATTAATTTTCAACCCAATCCTACTTGTCCGGATTTTCAGATTCAATATTTTTATTGGTTCCACTCAACCATAGCACTTTCCTATGGAATACTGTGTGGGATGTTATCCTGTTGCAAACACGCATGGAACTGATCATTTGAAAAAGAATATCCCTTACAGCACCTCATACTCATTCGGTGAAACCAGTTTCATGTAAATAATTCAGACCATGGCTCATGAAAAGAAGTACCATGTAACATTTTCACAATAAACAGTCGTCTTGTATACAAGGGGCACGACTGGCCCAGTCGTCTAAAGCGCCGTAAATTGCTGTGCGGAGTTACCTCCCCTAGACGTGATCAGTACTTTTGCTCGTTGGTTTGAACACCAGATTCACCTTGATTATGTTTCCTGGTTTGATAGCACTGTATCTGTGCATTTTGGTTCCTTCAAATGACAAACGTCCCAGACTCCCACTGCTTAGTGTGTTCCACTCACGTTAAGCTGAAATACTGTTCACTCACTAACCCACCTGTTCACTCACTCACTCACTCACTCCTTGCAGACCAAATGGATGAAGGAGAGCAATCTCGGCGGCTTCATGGTGTGGTCCTTAGCCCTGGATGACTTCAACAAGATGTGCAACTACACCACCCGCAGCTACCCGCTCATCCACGCAGCCATAGAAGAGTTGGGCAACGTGGTCATGCCAGCCCCCACCCCACGACCGACTTTCAGACCCACAGCCCCTCCCCGGCCCAGAACCACACGTCCACGGCCAATCGGGGGTGCGTTCAGACCCAAACCCACCGTCGTCGTGAACCACCAGACACCAGGTGTCCAGCCTTTCGTACCTCGTGGGAAATGTAAGTAGAAAGACAAAAACACAATGCTATACAAAGTATCAGTAGTATCGGGTAACCCGTGGAGTGCGTGATGCAGTTGATCTCACCATACTTGTGGTAAGAGGTGACTAACGGTTTGTTTGTTCGGGGGTACGAGTGGCCGAGACAAGCGCTTAAATTTGCTGTATCTCTTGGGTAATTTGTTTGTTGCTTAACACCGCACTCAACAATATTCCAGCTATATGAAGGCGGTCGGTATATAATCGAGTCTGGACCAGACAATCCAGTGATCAACAGCATGAGCATCGATCTACGCAATTGGGATACGATGACATTGTCAAACAAGCCCGTGAGCCTGACCACCCGATCCCGTTAGTCGTCTTTTACGACAAACATGGGTTGCTGAAAATCAATTCTAACCCGGAGGTGACTAACGGGATCGGGTGGTCAGGCTCGCTGGCTTGACTCCTTAAACAACAATGCATCTGGAAAATTTTCGTGACAGTAATTTTTCTATGGTACCAAATATTGTATGTCAAAGGGTCATATCATGGGTTCTTGGTCAACGAAGGAGAAGGTGGTCCAATCGTCCAGTTCTGGACCTTGGTCACGTCAGGAACCAATGAATGTGATGTCGAATGATGCTGAACATTTTCCAAGTGTATATTGAACTCTTGTTGTTTTTCAGTCATCGAATGTCCAAGCAGAGGGCACCATTACTTCCCTGATCACAATGACTGCCAGAAATACATAGAGTGCCACGAAGGACAACGCCACTCTCGAGGCTGCCCCAGTGGGCTTCACTGGGATGTCAAGGTCGACGCTTGTAACTGGGAACACCTCGCTGGCTGTACGACAGGATAGACATGGGATGGTGACGGCGGATGGAGCCGAGGGTGGCGGATGGGGTCAGGGTGGGAGAATGGTACGGGTTCCAGGGAGGGAGGGAAAGTTTAGAAGAGGGTAGCGTACCACGAGAAGGTATATGTACACTATGTTTTGAACAGTCATATTGAAGAACATATGGGTTTTGTACTTGAAGGATGACATCTGTTAAAGACACGGCTACTGCCACAGAGGTGATGAGGGATGGGGATTTGTTTAATTTAAATTAAAGTTTTAAAGTTTGGCAATGCTGATTGCAAATACACATAAATAATAATGCACATACAATATTCGAATGCATAATCATCTGTAAGATTCCTTGTCATAATAGTCATGGTTTTGTACTGTACATACATTCCAACCCCTTTCATTTAAAACTAAATTAAAATTTAAGATCTAACTTACAATTGCATCTTTACAACAGTGCGTGTTTCGTTTACGTAACCTACGGTGCTCTTGAAGATGTTACTACCCATATGAATGTGTTGATAACGTCGTTGAGTTAAGAGTCTTCTCTGGTTTTATTGAAGTGGAAAATCTTCTTCGAATTTGTTGATTTACTTGTGTCTCTACGTTTCATTATGAAGTGTTATAATATACTGAGAGAAAAAAAAGGAACACAAGAAAATTCAAGTGTTCCTTTAATATTTTCAAGATTTCATCACCAACTTTGAATAGCGCTGTGGGAGGAAATCTGAGAATAAGTAAAGGAACACTGTCATGAAGTAGTGTTCCCTTATTTGTTTCACTCAGTATATAACTGAATAATCGAGTTTCAGTTTTCCCAATACTTGGATGAGGTTTAGTCATTTGTAGTACGTCTATGGTGTCTTGGGTGATTTTTCATGTCATCATTGCCTTGAAACCTTTCTGTCATGTTAGTGTTGTATTTAAAAACAACCCACAGTGACAATATTCACCAAAGTGCCATATGAAAGTATTCGTGTGTCCCAATAAGTGTCACATATATATTACAAACTGGTTCAATATTCAACATATGGTATATTTGGGATTACACTTTATCAGAAACCGTGGCTTCCACGAAACATGGTAAATTGCTGACTTTGTGTGCTGGCGATTAGGTGTCTGACTCTGAGAGTGTGGGTTCGAATCCCGGATGGGACTCAACCTAACAAAAGCACTAGAATCGGTGTTTGGAATCAGAAATATAACTTATGTTATATTTGACCAATTTCTAAATGACATTGCCAGTATCCTCAGAGACCAATCTGTTTCAATAATGACAGCACAGCTGTTGAAAAAAATCTCAATATTGACAGTAACATTTTCAAATACCCAACTGGCTCAATGTTGAATGTATTACAACGTAAATATCTTGCCTCCACGTGTTATACAGTTTTGTTACATATTTTCATATACAATGTGTTGTTTTGTTTCTCAAATAAAAGTGTTGTCTTTCAAATGTATTTGCGTGGCTTGTTTGATATTACATAAACCTGCGGCTATCCAGAGACGGTTGCATTACCCAAATAGCTCCTGCACCTCAGAGGTAACAGGTGGAGGGGGATCGTGTGATCACAATGCAGGTGCTTGTGGAATCTTCAGTGAACTTGGAAAACTCTTGAAACCTGTAATATCTTGCTGAAGGTCAAGAGATGTATCGTTATATGGTACACATGGTATCTTGCTGCCATCGTGTGATCGATGAGATCTTTGTATACAGGGACGCACTGAATACCTGGAAGTAAGAAGTCTTGGTAGAATTCGGGCGTTGGTGTGTGTGTGTGTGTGTGTGTGTATGCGTGCGTGTGCGTGCTTGCGTGCGTTTGTGTTGTATACTGGGTCTTGTTGGGGTCATCGTATGCGTGAAAATTGTAACAGAGTGACTTTATTGTTCCAGGTGGAAGGTAATATTCCTTTGGGAGCATGTGAATCCTTTTGTGTACATCAGAGACGGCTTGTGGGTGATTTGCATTATATACTGACTGACTGACTGAGTTTGGTTTTACGCCGCTTTTAGCAATATTCCAGCAACATCACGGCGGGGGACACCAGAAATGGGCTTTACACATTGTGCCCATGTGGGGATTCGAACCCGGGTCTTCGGCGTGACGAGCCAACGCTTTAACCATTAGGCTACCCCACCGCCCCTTGCATTATATAAGTTACATAAGATGTTCCTTCACAGAAAAACAGAAAAAGAAAACAAACATAGAAAAAAAGCGAATTAAGGTCCATCATTCAGCCCTGTATGTCCGTTCTGTGACAACGTTAGTTCTGACACAAAATAAACAAACAGAAGTTTATATTGATTGTCTAAAACATTTTTTGTGTTTTTGTTTTCTCCGGAAAAAAACCTCGGGCTATTCTCGCAACCAGACGTCTGCTGTTTCCTGATTGGTTGATAATAGAGTGCGCGGATCATGTTCACTTTTGGTGAGTTCATGATGAAATTAACAGACCGTCAGTATTGTTGGTGTTTTTGTTTATAAGAATTGATTTCTATTTCTTTGGAGTTTATCGAATTGGAAACGTAAAACTGTGTAAATCGCCCACGCAATGTGCACATGGGGTTTTACACTTATACCTCCATGAACTAAAACATATTCAAATCAGTTCTTAAATATTACATGTATTCATCGAAGAGCACAGAAATATTCATACAAAATGAATGGCACCGATGCTGGCAACGCTTTCATACAGAGATTATGTATTCAAATGAAGGAAGTAAGCTAAACGGTTGACAGAAGATACTTTGTCCATGACGATATTTAAGCGTGATATTTGTCCTAAAAGCATCCATACACCTCGATAGGCTTTCATAGTGATTTCATTTAACGGTTTATAATATTTACCTGATGGGAGTATTTCAACCCACGGGAGAATCCAAAAGCTTTAGAGCAAAACTAATACCATTCTCCATGGTTTAACAGCGTCGTTCACTTACAGTATTAAAGTTTCAAACATGTGTCTGTGAATGCCATTATGGTGGATCAATATGATCACAGAACCGTGCGACGCAGGGGGTCTTAGTTTATAATATGCATTGCAGAATATCAGATGGGTGGAATGGCATTCAGGCGTACGCGTTATCAACAAAGCTGCTCTTTCTCTTACACGCGTGCACGCGCACACACCCCCAGCCGACATTAATTAGATTCAGATATATTTGGTAAATATTGTTCTTAGATGAAGTCTGTGATACTCCCATGACCAGATTCCAGTTAAATATACATGCCTGCTGTCTGCAAATTGCCTGTCAGAACCAGACACTCCAGTGATCATCAGAGTTAAGTTAGGCTGGAAGACTTAAAGTATCACGTGACCAGCGGGATTTCCGTTTTGCACACGGCACAAGTGTTAAAACTTCAAGTTTGGATTTATTGTGTTTGTTGAAGTCACCATGACGCTCAGTGTGTGACGTAAACAACCAGGCCAGAACTTACAATCATCGTTGCGTGGTTTCATCATGATACTGTTTCTTGTTTTGCCATCACCGTACCCATGGTCTTTCACCGCATTTTGAAATTTCCTACATCACTTTGCTGAAGTTAAAATACAGTAAGCCACGTCTATAACGAACTACGGTTATTACGAACTGACGGACAGATCGAATTATATTTAGCCCTTGTAACTCGCTGTACATTCAGTAAATATGTTTATAACGAGCTACGGGTATAACGAAATGACGGATAAATCGAATTATTTTTAGTCCCTGTCACTGGCTGTATAATAAGTAAATATGCTTATAACGATCTACGGTTATTACGAACTGAAGGATATATCGAACTATTTTTGGTCTATTTCACTGGCTGTGTTTTCAGTAAATATGCTTATAACGAGCTACGGTTATAACGAACTAAAATCAGTGGTCCCTCTGAGTTCATTACAACTAACGGGATCGGGTGGTCAGGCTCGCTAACTTGGTTGACTCATGTCATCAGGTCCAAATTGCGTAGATCGATGCTCATGCTGTTGATTACTGGATTGTCTGGTCCAGACTCGATTATTTACAAACCGCCGCCATATAGCTGGGATATTGCTGAGTGCGGCGTAAAACTAAACTCACTCACTCACTCATTACAACTGTAGTTTCTTGTAGTGTTAAGAGAGGCGTTCAACTCAACCTACCCACACTCATTATCGATACAAGGGTAAAAATGTGCATAAGTGCATCTTAATTACTCCAGTACGGATATCTGCCAAGGCGCATAATACCGTATGGCCTGGTTCACTTGAACCGTGATTAATGACTATCGAACATATCGATACCAGTCAGTGTACACGGATGATCATTGATTATGCAGAACCGATACGCTTCGATCACCTTACTGCGAGTTGGATGTACGCGAGTATGTCTGTTAACAGGAACAGTGTGTGAATGGTTGACTTAGTTTAGTTTTGCTTTGACTATAAACAGTTAAATGACGAGTGAAAGCGAGTGAGTGAGTGAGAGTTTACAATGGTTTTAGCAATATTCCAGCAATATCATGTCGGGGACACCAGAAATGGGTGACCGTTTCCCATATTGTACCCATGTGGGGAATCGAACCCGGGTCTTCGGCGTGACGAGCCAAGGCTTTAACTACTGCCCGTTCGATTTCATTTGAGACCGATGACTTGCTCACTTTGGGTAGAACAGCCAGGTGTGCGAGTTGCGCGTGTGAAATTGAAATTGTTGATTACCTGCCTGTTCCACTAGCAAGTGCCCCCACCCCTCGTATAAAATAGCGAAAAGTGAAAAAAAAAATAACGATCGTTTGTTAAACAACCTTTTCATTTGGGTGTCCAAAATTATGACACAAATCATCAGAGTTGGTCGGACGATTTTATGTGACAGTACAAAACTTGGTGTTGTTGCAATTATTAGATTTTGTGTTAGCGAGCAATTCATCGGTCTCAAATGAAATCAAACGGACTGTAGTTGGCTACCCACCGCCCAAGACTAGAAGACCAGAAGTGATCAAAGCCTTTAACTATCCTGGCTTTGTGCTTATCACAGGAAACCAGGGTTTCAAGCCAGTGATCCTGCGACGCCTAAGGGGCGCCACTCTGCACATCGAGTTTTTAACCTCTATGCCCGCTTTCCCCATAAATGAATATCCTCAAGCGGAACTCGATGTTTCATATATAATTAAGTTTAATGTTTGAAACATGATCTAGTATCCAACTGTACTGGGCTTACTTCTCCCTTCGAGAGTGTTAAATTCAAAATATCTTCAGGGTTCGATTGGTACCGTACCACTTACATAGGTATGAATAATTCAACTGAAACACTATCCTGGAATCCATCAGCATGTGCCCACATAGCAACTCTAAGGTTGATAGGTACGTTGTATAGGTAAAGCTGCGGAGTTCGAAATAACTGCCAGCCCTGAGACAGTCTCCTGTGGAGCACGAAGTTTCGAAGTTGTTTTGGTCCTCGATCTATTTATTACAATGTGCTGCATTTTTAATTTTACTTTGTTTGTCTCACAATGTGCTGCATTTTTTATTTGTGTTTGTTTATCTGTCTGTTTGTTTATCTGTTTAACGTCGTACTCAGCAATATTCCAGGTGTATGGAGGCGGCCTGTAAATAATCAAGTCTGGACCAGACAATCCAGTGGTCAACAACATGGTCATCGATCTACGCAATTGGGATACGATGACATGTGTCCACCCGATCCCGTTAGTCGCCCCTAACGACAAGCAAGGGTTGCTGAATACCAATTCTAACCCAGATGTTCACGGTCGCATATTTTAAGCTTCGAAAGTGGGTCCTAATTAGCATTTAATTTTATTGCAAGCAGTTCAAAAGGTATAGGATAGTTGGCTAATAGATGGATCAAGCTAAAGCAGTACAAGTTGTTCTACAGAATAAATGATACAAAATAGATTGTCAATGTATACGGGCGTTAAAGTATCAGTGTGTGCAGTTTTCGATGCACTATCATATTTCTCGGGGTTTTATATTGCACTTCCCTCCATCACACCTGAATATATACGTCCGACCAACGAATCATGCGAAGGTTTTGTTCCAGCTTGACGGAAACCTGACCAACAAACGTCGTAAAAACGGCAATATTTCTCATGCTTATCTGCTGTACACATTGCTTCCCCACAAGGCAACAGCAGGCTTCACCAGATCCATAGGACCCATATGTCTTTGTCAATACCGAGCCTCATTTCGTTAGTTGACTGAGAACAGACACTCCTCACTATTGCACTGCAAATTGCTCGTATGTATTCACAGTTGATCAAGGAACGTATAGCGGATTCACTACCGATTTTTATTTGTTTGTTGTTTAACGCCGCACTCAGCAATATTACATCTATGTGGCGGCGGTCTGTATTTAATTGAGTCTGGACCACACAATCCAGTGATCAACAGCATGGGCATTAACTACCTATGAACTGATGTCTGTGTATCGGAAGTAAAAATCTTGAAAGCTGAATCAATTGTTTTTAACCATGATAAATGTGAAAGACCTATGAAAAACCTTGTGCAGAGTTTCGTCGACACGGCAGAAACATATAATTGTGATTTTGAATTGATATTCGCTCCGAACATACATAGGGTTTCACCAAAGTAGCATCACTTCTCACCCTCATCCCAACCCAGCCCAACTTGTCTGTCTAACTGTTAAAAGCGGCCTAAAATTCACGGACGCATTACAATGGAACTCCGGCATCTGAACTCTATGCACTGACCATGGAGGACCCGTATTTAATTATCGACATAGAATAGGACTACTTATACCATCTGTAAGATGCCTCACAAAGTCTGCCAAAGATGACTGAAACAGGGTCGTACCTCGTATCCCTTCAAAATTGGCTATGGGCCGGGATTCGCACGAATTATAGCACCCATCAGTGTCAATATTTACATGACCCACAAAATAATCCAGCACATCCAACGCAACTCCAAGGTAACAGAATTACATTATATAAAATAGCATATACCTGTGTACTCAATAACCAAATGAACAATTTACTGTTGTACCAAATGTGATTCAGGTTGCCTTGTCCCTTGGGGACATTTGCATTATCGACGTCATCCCACTCTGTGTGTTTGTCTCAGTGTGTGTGTGTGTGTGTGTGTGTGTGTGTGTGTGTGTGTGTGTGTGTGTGTGTGTTTATCACAGTTCGTGTGTGTTCTTGTATGACAGAGTATTACTCTGTGTGTTTTACTGCCCTTGCATTTGTCTTAGTATTTGTGTGTATTTCGACCAATATGTATATCTCTATTTGTCTAAGTGTGTGTATGTGTGTACTGCATGTCCCAGTGTGCACACATCAATGGCGGTTTGTGTGTATGTGTGTGTAAATTTGTCTCAATTCGAATGTCTGCATTTGCACCAGATTTGCATGAATCTGTCTCAGTGTGAGTGTGTGTATGAATGTGTGTGTGCTCACTCAGTCTCAGAATGAGTGTGCGTAATTTTCCTTCATCAGTATGAACATTCGTTCGTTTAAGAGCGTGTGTGTGTGTGTGTGTGTGTGTGTGTGTGTGTGTGTGTATTTGTCATTTGTCTTTATGTAGCATTTTGCTGATAATGAAACATATTTGGTCACTGTCGGTGTATGTGTCTCCTCTGTTTGGCTTAGCGTAAGCGTGTATGTGTATTTGTGTGTATGTGTGTGAACGGCCAAACGTAGAAAGAAACCCAACATAATCTAAATGTTCTGATTTTATTATGTCACGTAAATCAGTTGCATAAATTATCACTGACAATATATACAATATACAATATATGCATGTAACATATATATGAGTTACAATACACGAGAGAATCACTACAGCGAAAGCCCTTGGAATGGGACGGTAATGTTTCAAATACCAAAGAAATGAAACGGTGGTTAATGTCAAATGTTTGTGGAATAGAGTAGTTTCAATGTACAGACCTAATCATCACATTGATTCTTTGATAATAATTCCTGTGGAGGAAATGGAGAAACAATACGCCGTTTGAAAGGGCTTAATCGTACTCAGGAGTCATACAATGGTTGAAGGAGTCATACAATGGTTGAAGGAGTCATACAATGGTTGAAGGAACACGACAGATATTGTTAAAATGTAGAGTCTCTCCTTTTGAAACTAATTGCTGTAAGCTGTAACTTTTTGTGTTCAGTCTGCCCGTTAGGAGGCTGGTGATCATTTTGGCAACTCGTCGTCAATGATCTATACATATATAATATATACATTACACCCTCTATCTGAAGAATCAGAATGTTTAAAGATGATATATATTTCCTAATCTCGTTAACCTCCATTAACTAGATATGTTGTTTGTGATCTAACTATATCGACATGGCAGTAGCTTCATCGTCACCCAGGACCTCGAAATACGGGTAGTTCGACATAGGTTGGGTGGTCCACAAGACGTCGATTTGCTGTATGTGGCGATCCATCAAGAATGTCACATTACGTTGCGACCAGAGAGCCGTTGTAAGAATAACATCAATCGATTCACGTTCACTCTGACGAGGTGACTTGATGACTAAGTTTGGTTTAAGGCGGGTTTGAACAGTATTTCAGTGACATCTCTGTTAGCCGAATGTGGGAGGAAAAGTCTTAAAAACCAAGGTCTAAGATTGGTGCTTGTCATTGCAAGGATAGAAACATTATGTGGAGTCAGAACCCACGCCGATATTTGATAACTACGTTATTTAAAACCCCCTACTAATACCGATATTCATTTTCTAGCCTATTGTAACATCACATGTAACATCACAATGAAATTTTGTCCGACATGTGTCTCATATCATAATTCGTTTTTAAAAACCCCCTATTAACTTGAAACTATGAAAAACAGCGAGTAATTGTGTGTAGATAGAGAATATCCTAATGATGTGCCTTAGTTTCTTTTATGTATGTAATTAAATATATCATTGCAATGAAAATTATACTGTTTGATGCTACAATCACACCCTGATTGTCTGTTACATGTTATTTTGATAATGTACCATGCATTTCTATATAGTTCATATTATCCAATACACCTTGACATACACTTGCTGGCAGCTACGGAAGTGTGTTCCCCTTGTGTTATTGATGTCAAGGTAACGGTTTGTATGTAATATACATATACACTGTTAAATGCCCTCGTCGAAAAGTACCTTTCCCCTTCAAGATGACTTCTGTCTTCGCACTAGTGACGCACGAGTGCGCTACCTTACAACGTGGGTCACCATGAAATAACACATCATTATTGCCAAAGTCGTTAGACTCAAAGTTGTCCTACTGCCCACGTTGTCGGTGTTGCAGGCGTTTTCTCTACAGCAGGATATGCATCTGATTTTTGTGACGCCGTACCCGGAGGCTCTGCAGCCGTATTTGCACTCAGCGGTGCAGTCTCTGTTGATGCTGATGGTCATCCCTTTGACCGTCACACGCTCCACCTGGAACACACAGGGTAGAGAGTGAGTGAGTGAGTGAGTGAGTGAGTGAGCTCTACCGTTTCCATCTATGTTTGTTTTACCTGCATTATCTGATTCTCTTCAGCATCTGCAAAGAGGGTGTCCTCGTTTCAGATAGCAAACAACACACCTGGACAGGTGAGTGTTTGCTTGCACCTCACTTATTGACACTGATACACCTGTGTAGATGGTTGTAAAGTGTAAGATTATGGCAGGAAATAAAGGAAGATCCTACTTCCTATAATGAGCACCTTTGGGTCTCCTAGGAGTTTTTGGAGGCTGAAAGGTAACAGATGCCTATGGTTTTACATAAATAACTTTATCAATGAGTGAGTGAGTGGGTGATCCCCGGTTTAATCTGTTCTTGAAAACTACCCCTACGGGGTTCGACTCAGTATGAAACCCCAGTACAGAACAATACTCAGTCTTCACTATCTTCAGGGACATTTGGCGTAAAGGGTAAACCAGCTGAGAAGATCATATGAATGAACCAATACAAATGTACATGTACAAATATGACTTGAGTGAGTATGGTTCTGCGCTGCTTTCAGCAATATTCCAGCAATATTCCAGCAATATCACGACGAATGAGACAAAAAATGGGCTTCACGCATTGTACCCCTAAGAGAAATTGAACCCATGTCTTTGGCGCGACGAACGCTTTAACCACTAGGCTACCCCTCGCCCCTAATGCCTTGAAGCTTGTTGCGGAAACAGAAGAGTGGAGACCAATGATAAAACGGATGAGTAAATTCAGGTCTGTTACAGCTGTCAAGATAACCATTCAAGGTCTGTTTATCTCACAGCAGGGCCTGTGTTATCATTCTAGAATCGGGGCGGTGGGGTAGCCTAATGGTTAAAGCGTTGGCTCGTCACGCCGAAGACCCGGGTTCGAATCCCCACATGGGCACAATATGTGAAGTCCATTTCAGGTGTCCCTCGCCGTGAGGTTGCTGGAATATTGCTAAAAGCGGCGTAAAACCAAACTCAGTCAGTCAGTCATTCTAGAATAAAAATAATTTTAACACATTAGTCCTCTTGCAGGTCTGAAATGGAAGTCCACTGTAACGTTGTAAGGACACGTGTTGCTTTAGACATTCCAGATTTACATACAGCTCAATGACTTCCTTCAATATAGGAGGACACTCTAAGATGACAGTTTATAGATACTAACTTTATAAACGCCATGATGCAAAGAATCATAACATGATCCGAACAGGAAGATTAGAGAATCCTGGAGGGACCAGAGGACCCGTTAATGAATAGCAAATTAGATGCTTATAATACATTATATATCAGAAAGACTCATTAAACCTTTTGAACGATCCCTTTAGGAATTGACCGGGACAAATAGAAACCATATCGTTTACACAGCTACGAGTCAACTAAAATACAGTAATTCTCCTCACTTCAGACTCAAGACAGGATTTAGTGACACAAGTATGAATACCCTTGAGTGACGTTATTTATTATGTTAATTGAGATCTTGGGGGGAAATATAAACGGTTCAGCAACGTCGTCCCTCTGGTGGCTACATTGTACGAATGACATGACATATCTCACGTTTGAGAACTGTTCTACTATTATCTTATCTGTGACAGAAAGTCCAATATTGTAAGAAAATATTTTCCATTAGATTGCAGCTTTGAATGTTCACGTGACCTTCACCTTCACCGACGGTGGATTTTCCCAATAGGGCAGTAAGCTGTATTAAAGCCATATTTAGTGATTGGCATAAAGTCAAACCAAGACTGAAAGCATGAACAACGATCCAAGACCTAGAGCAAGAACAAACAGGCCGTTGACGCTAAATACCTCATAGCCAGTTTAGACTCATCTTTATAACTAGACTCATGGGGGCTCTACTGATTATGAAACGCCAGGGCAAAATAATACCCAGTCTTCAGAAGCAGTTTCCATTTGGCGTAAAGGGTAAAACAGATGGGAACATCATCTTTCTGGACCACTGGAAATCAGTGATGACATCAAAAATCCTCCTGTATCAAACGCAACTTGATAAATAGATTGCTATATATTCACTTCCTCTGATTCGATGGCAACACCCAAAGCATGACATCCTGGAAGAAAATATTAATCACAAAATGTTACACCGACAATATGATTAGTACAAGTATTATGTCCACGAATATGGGCATTGAGGAAACAGTTTGCAGTATCTAAAAGTAACTGATCTAATTCGTGATAAAATCCCGGTTTGTGATTAATAAGATAGGTATTTAGTTATATATTTTAATGTTTCCTGTCACTTAAAAAGTCACAAATTCGTCAACATTTGCCAAATGTCTAGGGCCTCATCAGTTGGTCTCAAGAGTGAGTGAGTGAGTTTAGTTTTACGCCACACTCAGCAATAATCCAGCTATATGGCGGCGGTCTTTAAATAATCGAGTCTGGACCAGACAATCCAGTGATCAACAGCATGAGCATCGATCTGCGCAATTGGGAACCGATGACATGTGTCAACCAAGTTAGCGAGCCTGACCACCCGATCCCTTTAGTCGCCTTTTACGACAAGCATAGTCGCCTTTTATGACAAGAATGGGTTGCTGAAGACCTATTCTACCCCGGATCTTCACGGGTCTGGTCTCAAGAACGTTGGTATGATCGGATTATGTATCGATTGCAGAAGTAGTGTAGCCAATTCTGGGTATTCACAAAGTTTAAAATTTAAAATTTTTGTGAAATTTCATGTGAAACTTCTCGTGATTTCCGCGAAGCGTGCTCATTACGTTTTCTTATTACATATGTATTAGGACATTAATGTTGCAATATAAATTAATCCGTAGCAAACCCTGCTTATCGAACGAGACGACGATGGATAGGGTGACGTGGATGATATAATGCCACGTGATCCAGCAGCGTTGATCGGTGCTCTAATAATCATCCATCACTGGTTGGTCAAGTACAGATTTTGATCACTGAGATACATTCTACCCCTTACACCCGCATTTTTTATAGTTTATAGTAAAAAACAAACATGAAATGACAGATCAATAATCTTTTTCAGAGAGCGTTGATGTACTTGTTGAAAGTCATTAACCATCACGAATCGAAAGAGTACGAGCTATTAGCCAGACACCCATAGCACAATGTATGCCATCTGTCCTATAACCGGTTCTAGCCTTGGTTATTTCTAGATAAGTCCCCAAAGCACTTAATGTCCTGACATGTCTACCTGGAACAGAAAGGCAATTAGGCTTGCTTACTGTATCAATATAGCCTTTTCATGTGTTAAACATAACAAAGTGTTTTTGAACCCTAGAGCACGAGGACAGTTCTTTGCTAATTGAGTTAAGTTTTCTTAATGTTCTGCAAATATTAGTTACTTTCGATTGATGTTACCTTTCCCCGGCGCAGCAAGGCAGTTCCGCGATGTCGTTTGTGCAAAAGGATCAATTTTGAACTAGAATAAAGTCACCTTAAATGCAAATAAATCTTTCTGAACCAAGAATTAATGTATATATCGATTTTTCATAGATTAACTACAGAGCAAAATAAAGTACCCATTTAAAACTTGGATTTGAAAAATTTAAAAACGTTATTGAAACGTTTTTAGGCTGGGTCCCGATCCCGACCGTAGTGTTACGAGCTATCGTTACTTTATTGTATGAAAAGAGCCATATCAAAAGAGATACATCTTGACATTGGCATATTATCATAACTAATCAACGTTAACAAAAATGCATTGTAGATAACTGCAACCAGTAACTGCATAGTGTAGTATTACACCGCTTTTAGCAATATTCCAGCAATATCACGGCGGGGGACACCAGAAATGACCTTCACTCATTGTGCCCATGTGGGAAATCGGACCCGGGTCTTCAGCGTGACGAGCGAACGCCTTAACCATTAGGCTACCCCACCGCCCCTCATAACTTACGAATGACGTAGTGCTACGAACGCTGCGAGGATAGGGGACCTGAAATGCTACAAAGTATTAATAACGAACACAAACTGTATCTATTAAATCTCCATCGAATACCATTTATTTTTTGTTTCATCAAACATTTGTATATAAGTTATTCAGATCGTCAGGTTATATGACCTATATTGGTTAACGGTTTCAATAATACCAAATATTTGTCAAAATACCTCTCATGAGTTTGAGTGAATTGATTAACGAAGACGGGATCGGTTTCAATGTGTCGATCTTTGATCAAGGTGAATTACTGGACTTAATTTAGATAAATATTTCAATAAATTATTCACGGTGATGTGGGTCTATTCGACCGCAACTTGAATAATTCCTATTTGTGATAGGTAGGTAATGCAAACAGTGAATGCACTTAGGACACCATGAGGACCCTTCACACCGGCTGACCCTAGGCTGGTTGACAATTACACGGTTGGGATCCATTTCCTATACAAATCCCTAATCAATGAAACTGGTATCGATTTTCTACCCCACGTTTCAATTAACTGCATTGGATGGAGAAGGCAAATAACAGTAATTGTACACTGGACTAGTTGGCGATGTGTGTTTTTTTATTTACAAAAGAATGCCCCCAAATATAATCTATATTCATATTTGGATCAAATTTGAAATACTTTATTACCTAAATATACTCATTGTGTTTATTCATTGGAAATTAATAGCTTGTAAAAATGATTGTCATTCAGGAGTGTGTTGACAGTAATCAAACCAATATTTGTCATACCATGTGATCAATTATCGATTTTATAAAATCATATCGGGGTAGGAAGATACAGGAATATTATTTAAGGTATCTTGTATCGTGTCTGTATAGTGCTCAACTGGCACAGGGATTATTCCTGGACAGTGGATGAGGTCGATAAACATGCTATGAAAATGACCTATAGCCATTTCTTCATGGGTCTGTTGCACGAGTGTTCCTCTATCGCCCGTGAATATATTTGTGGTCTCTATCTTTAAGCCAGGATTCAAGTTCCAGCCTGGTTCCAACCAGGGTGAGGTGCTCAGACGAATGGGTGTGCGGATTACG